TAAATAGGCAACACAAAATGAAAACTTAAGAAATAAGTCCAAATGTATCAGAGATTATTATAAATCTAAAAAACACAACTTGCATGTTGGACTTCCCCTGTGGCCCAGTGGTTAAGAGTCCTACTTGCAATGCAGTGGACTCAGGTTCGATCTCTGGTCTGGGAAGATTCCAGATGCCTCAAGCCAACTAAACCCGTGAGCCACAACTGTGCTCTAGTGCATGCCGCCCACAACTACCGAGCCCACAGCCCGCAACTACCAAGGGCAAGCACCCTAGAGTCCATGCTGAGCATCGAGAGAAGCCACCACAGTGAGAAGCCTGCACACTGTGACTCCACAGTAGCCCCCACTACTAAGGAAAGCCAGAGGGACAGCAACAAAGATACAATGCAGCCAGAAATAAATAAATTCTAAAAACTGTCATGATAATACTCTTAGACTATATTAAAAAAAAAAAAAACAAGCTTCACTATATTCACGAGGATGTTCACTGGAACACTATTTGTGATTGTGAAAAATTGGAAAAATAACAACAGTCGATAAAGGAATTAAATCACAGTACATTCTGTGACAGAATACTAAAAAGCAGATAAAAACAATGAACTAGATGAGTTTATACAGTGCAGCAATCTCATAAGTAGCTGAATCACAGAACACATACATAACATGATAACATTTCTGTACAATATACTACTAGATGGTGTTTATGGATATATATATGTAGTAACAAGGATTAAAACATATATGATGGCTCTACATATATAATGAAATATTACTCAGTCTTAAAAATAAGAAGGAAACCTTGCCATCTGTGACAACAACAGATGAACCTTGAAGGCATTATGCTAAATGAACCAAGTCAGACAGAGAAAAACAAATACTATATGGTTGGACTTACATGTGGAATCCAAAAAAAACAAACTCAGAACAGACTGGTAGCTGCCAGAGGCAGTGAGTGGTGGTTGGGGGAAATGGGTGAAGGTGGTCAAAAGGCACAAACTTCCAGTTATAAATAAGTTCTGCGGATGTAGTGTACAGCATGATGACTGTAGTTAACAATTCTGTATTGTTTATTTGAAAGCTAAGAGTGTATTTTAAAAGTTCTCATCAAAAAAAAAAAAAAACTACAACTATGTGAGGTGATGGATGTTAACTTACTGCAGTAAGTTTTTGCATGTTGTTTTTGCAAGTTTTTGCAAATTGTTACAGTAGTAACATTTTGCTATATATATATATATCAAATCATTATGTTGTATATCGTTAACATTCCAATGTTACATATAAGTATAGCTCAATGAAACTGGCAAGAAAAATAGAGACTGATCCCACAGACACTAAAAGGGTAATGGCTGACTCAGACTAGAAAGAATACAAAAAGTATTTCAACTCAATTTTTTAATTTATTTTTCTTTTTAAACAGAAGGGAAGATCTGAAGCAAATATGAAGAAAGGACATTTGTTCATTCTGGGTGGCAAACACATAGATACACATTTTATGTTCTACTTTGCTCAGAACTATTTATGACAATCAAATACATATTAACATAATTTGTAGAATTCAATATAAATATCTAATTAGTGTGGTTAAGTATGTTTCACATGGTTTTACAGATTTATAGTGATTTATGTGCATTACATATATTCAGCAACAAAAAAAACTTAAAACTGAAATAGTATAATCCTAGATCAATCCCCAAAACCCTATTCATATCCCATCCACCAGTTCCTCCCTAACAATGTAAAAAAGCTAGGAGGAACTGCAATAAAGAGACAGCAACAAGAGAAAGTTATAGCTCAGTTCCTAGAGGAAAGGAATCATCTTTCACTTACAGCCAGAAGAGCAAGACCTAAATAATGCAAATCCTTAATGGGCTTTTGGCCATTTTATTTTTCTGTACAATCCACTTTCAATGTGTCTTCCAAGTAGAATACTTAAAAATCTAAAATATCCCCTCTCTGTATCTTATTAACACTGTACAAGTAGGTAAAATTTCTAATAAATCTCTTCAGCCAAAAAAATAAAATAAATCTCTTCAGCCTGTGGTACTTAAGAACACATACACATTAAATATAAAAACAGTCATCAATGAGTGTTTTAACCTCTAAGCACTATGATTGCAGTTAATAAACAAGGAAATCCAATCAAAATATTTATTCACTTGAGGTGAAATAAGCAATTCAAGTGTTTTTTCCCGAACAATGAATGCCTATCTAACAAAGAGCTTCCCTTAAAAACCAACCAAACTTCCTCAGTCACCATCTATTTTTATTTTTGTCTTTCTTTACTTTTTCAACATTTATTCTAACCCTGCAATCCCTACTATTTTCGATGCCCTGTAACAAGGGTTCTGCCCAAAAGAGCGAACTACAATTGCTGTCTCAAGAACTTGTCTTCGAACTTCAGCATCCCTGGCAGCAATGTACACTATCAACTAGCCTTTAAAAGACAACTGCTTTGTGTTGCTACTGGAACCTGCAGTTTCTGCTTTCCTGACAGCTCATTAGCCATCCTTGGTAACTTGTTCTTACTCTCCCAAATGTGAACATTCACCAGGGTTCTGCCTTCACTCTTCTTGGCTCCCAACCTCCTGCTATGCAGCTCCATGCCCAACTTGTCTTCATTACTTTAACCCTAACTTTCCAATGAAACATCCGAGCAGCATCAAACCCTCTATTCCTATTAACAGTATCACTATCCCAGAGTGCTCAACCATGACATCTCAGAATCATCTGATTATTCCTTCACCCCACTTCCATTTCTGTCATTTCCTCCTCCAAAATGCTCCCTCCCTTCCTTTCTACTCCCTTTCTACTCTCAAATTTTTATGATACAGCAACCTAAGTCTTTCAGTTTCTAACCTCCCCTTTCAAAACCATTCTATATACAAACCAAGCTATTTGAGTAAAAATACTGCTTTATGGTTCTGGATTTTCACTCCTCAGTTATCTATGAGCTTCTAATTCTCCTTCTCTGAAAAGCAAGCTATCCCAAACCCACAGAGATTTCCCTGCATCTGACCACCTCAACTCTACTCTCTAGCTATGGCTAACTAACCCATCCAGAACCAGAAAAGCCAAGACAGTTTTTTCCCCATCAAAGGAACATGAGATTCGGACTGAAATTCAATCTCTGGAGACAAGACTGAAGTATGGCCATCATTCACCACAGGAGGCAACAATACAGTATACTGTGGTTGAGAGTTTAATCACGGCCCAGACTCCAACTAGGTACGTATTTCTCTCAAAACTACTAGGTCTTTATCTGTGAAATGAGAATAACAAAAGGGTATCTACCTCATATATTTGACAGGATAATTAAAGAAGGTAATTAATATAGAACATTCAGCACAGCATCTGACAGTAAACAATAAAAAAAGTTAGTTATTGACAGAGTAACTAGCAGAGAAAATCTGTAGAAAGGAAAAGAATTAAGCAGATACACAGAGAAAACCAGAAACAACATTAAGACTAATTCAGTTCCCATCCTAACTCATGGATGTATTTTCAGGCTAGGTTTCTTGGCTACTATATCATTTTAACAAGAGGATGCATATAAGTATATATATGAGTATATATTTAACTACATACATAAATAAAACTATGGCTTTATAACCCTACCTTTTATAACTACAGGAATTCAGAAAAGACTGTGCCTGATCTTTAATTAATGACCCCCACATCCTGCCAAATAAAGCTTAAGTAAAACATGTCTTCCAATGTACCTTTTAAGATAACTAGCTTATTCACCTGGATATTCTGACCATGACCTCAGAGAGGAAAAAGGCATAGAAACAGGCAAGAAGTGGTATTTGAGGCAAATAATCCTGGCATTTTACCACTCCCATTCACCTCTTTATCCTCCCTCTCTTGATACCCACTTTGTTATTTTCTCATCTTTCTCTGGCTACAAAACTACTATGTCATGCGGTGGAAGAGCCTTACCTTACCTTACTGTCAATGTTTCCTAACAAAGTCAAGCAAAACGTCCTTTACTTGGTGACCCATCAACCCCAAACCATAAAATGTTACCGGGGGGAGGGAAGAGTAAATTGATACATAAATTACGTCCTTAAATTTTTACAATTAATCTCATCCTCCACTTGCTAATTTCTATTTCTGTAATGTCAGAATAACTATAACTCTGCTACAGGGCATTCTCACACACAAACACCACATATCAACAAATTAGTGCTCTGATTTCACAATCCTACATAGGCTACTCAGCCATTATTTCTGCTGATCGAAAATTGCCTAGGCAAAACTAAAAACCTCCATTCTTGCTCTCCATGTAGGTAGAGGTTGAAATATTTGTTTTCTAACTTCTGTCAAATTCTCTAGTCAACACCAAGAGGAAGAAACTACCACACTGCAAATGGTAATACTTTCATATGATTAATGAAGATAAAATCTATTCTTCCCTCATATTTCTAGAAGTTCAACCGGAAAAATGCTTTTGGCCACAAAGAATAAACATTTCTCTCATTCTTACAGAAGGTTTACAGAAGTGTTCAGAAAGAAGGTTAGCCAGCCAAGTTAAAAAAAGGAAGATTTTATGCTGCTTTGCCAAAGGGCCTGAATGTATGAAAATACTGAGCAAAGTTAAACTATACATGTACAGATGTAATAAAAAGAAATGTGAATCACTAAATACTGATGGACTTTTTTTTACTTCTTAAACAGAACCTAGCAGAATTATCTCAGTATAACTCAACCTATGTCCTACTGCCATTATGTTCCAACCATGATTAGCCAATCTAACCAGCAGGCAGGGCCAATTAAGCCAAAATACAACTTTATATTTTATCCTTTCTAAGCATCCATCAATATGCAATTCAATTTGTTTTTCAGATCTTATAAAACCAGCTTAAAACTGCAAGTCAATATTTGGCCCAAATTCAATATTTGAACAAGACTGAAAACCCTTCAAAATGAAACCTCAGTGTGTAGCATCCTAAGCTACTCATTGAAGTATTTTAAAGTTTTTGATAAACAGTCCTTACCACTCTGGCCGCTCTCTCCTGAGATTCACATTTCCTGCAAAACCATGGTCCTGTGGGTACTTGAACAATGCCATAGCAAGCTGTTGGAAAACAGAATGTTTGAAAATAAGTTAAAGGTTGAATAACTATGAAAAATCAAATATTGTACCAAAGCCCTATTAAAGTAATACCTCCAAAAAAATAAATAAAATAAAAAATAAAAAAATAAAGTAATACTTCCAACTGCTTTGTAAAAAAATGTTATAAATGCTTTGTAAAACATGTTATATTTATGTTTATCATTTATCACCAAGTTACAATCATGACATTTTAAATATCAGAAAGGTAACTTTTTGCTACTTCATTTCAAAAGAATAAACATCACAAATCTTATTCTTTTACAATAAAAATATTAGATAAAATTTAACATGCTTACATAAATAACTTATTATTCATTCCTATAATTATATGAATATTCACTACTTCAAATTCATTAATTCATTCCTATATCTTAAGTTTAAATATCAAGCATTTTAAATACATGAAAATAAAGTTATTTTCAAATCACCTTTCAAAATAAACAAGCTATGCAGGAAATGAAATGTAATGTTAAAAGTGAAATGCTTCTATTTAAATAAAATGTCCAGAATAGACATTTGTCTGTCTATACAGAAGGTAGATTTAGTTGTCTAGAACTGGGGGAGTTGGAGAGAAATGAGGAGTAACTGTTAACGGCTCCAAGGTTTCTTGTGATGATGAAAATGTTCTATTAAACTGCAGTAACAAATCCAAAACTGTGACTATACTGAACACCACTGAATTGTACATCCTAAGTGGGTTAACTGCATGGTATGTGAATTATATCTCAATAAAATCATAAAAAAACAAACTGCAGGTTTATTTCTAATGTATAATGTTAATGTTTCAACAAGTGATGTGAATACATATCACATTTCTAAATCACAGTCTAGTTACTTTAAAAATTGTTTCCATATTAACATTAACTTAACTCAAAGTTTAAAACTTGCCAAAAACCTAGAGACATTAATAATCCAATTGACATTTTCTCAAATGAACCTGCTCAAAGGAAACATGGAAATATATCAAATATTGGAAAGCATCTAAAGAATATAAAATCAACACAGATTTCTAAAACTCCAAAAGCTAAACTCTGAACCCCTGTTAAAAGTGGTAGTTATTCATTTGTGTCCAACTCTTTGTGATCATATGGATTGTAGCCCACCATGCTCCTCTGTGCATGGAATTCTCCGGGCAAGAATACTGGAGTGGGTTGCCTTTCCCTTCTCCAAGGGATCTTCCCCACCCAGGGATCAAACCCGGGTTATTCTGCATTGCAGGCAGATTCTTTACCGTCAGAGTACCAGGGAAGTCCCAACCCCTTTTAAAAGGTATGAGTAAAAATATTCTATCAACCAAGTAACTGGCAGTCCAGTAGTTAAGACTATGCCTTCTAATGCAGGGGATGGGAGTTCGATCCCTGGTCAGGAAGCTAAGATCCTACGTGCCTCCTAGCCAAAAAATCAAATCATAAAATAGAAGCAGTATTGTAACAAATCCAATAAAGACTTTAAAAATGGTCCACATCAAAAAAATCTTATTAAAAAAAAAAAAAACACAGCGTTAGTGCCCCCCAAACCTTGTATTTTAATTCAGAAACACAGAGAGTAAATTTTCAGTTGTAAATGAACATTTTCTACATTGGGAGATGAAAACTACTTAGCATCATTTATCAACCAAATTCATAAGAAACACCTCCACAAGTACCAATGAACACTACAGTGGAATATACCAGGTTCTCAAACCTTAAAATCAGTATTTTCAATTCACATTGTTTTCACTCCTTAAAAAGTGAGGTGTGCAACTCTGCGCTTCCTTGAAAGAACTGGGAATAAGTGCATTCTCAGATTAGGTTATTTACTATCTCCTAAATCTCCCAATTCTGAGATTCCATTCTATGAAAACTGCAGTTTAGTCCCGTAGGCTCAGGCTTTCTCTCGTTTGACTAGCGTCCAATACACTACTAAACAACATCTGCATCACTCAATGGCAGATTCAAAAATGGGAAAGGGCGCAGGCTGGTGCCTAACAAGAGGAGTACAAGAGGGCCAAAAAATTACCTAGGTTTTTTTCCAACCTGAATTCCTTACCACCTGAAATGGAAAAAATCAGAAGCTTCCATGGCCAAAAAGCTACCTTACTAGTGTCCTTGACCTTTTTCTACATCCCCCAAACTCACCAAATTGTAACAACCCAAAATAATACTAGGATGCTCCCCAAGTTCCTGGCGGCACCGCCACCTCTTCTGTCCGATTTCTTAAGCTGCGGAACCGGCCCGAGGCGGCCATCCCGACAAGCCTCAGCCTCCACCCCAGGTAGCTCAGCGCAGCTCGGCCCAGCCGCTCCCGGGGACGGCACGACTGCGGCGTCAAGAGCCTTCCGCCTCTTCTCCGCGGGAAACGCCAGTCCGCAGCGACGGCCGCAGGGTCTGGGCCAGAAACCTTGGGGTGCGCGGCAGCCGGCGTCCTCCCCACCCCGGCCCAAATCTAATGCCGCCGGGCAGTCCCCGCCGCCCGCGACCCGCCGCAGCGCCGCGCGCCCGAGCCCGACTCCATGGCACAGGAAGTCTCCAGACACTGCGGCAGACTGAGCGGCGGGAGGGGGAGGGGGCTCCACGCTTCCCAACCCGCACCCACGGCCGGGGGACGCGCGCCCGGCCCCCCGCACCCGTGCGCCGCCGACCCCCGCCTCCCGGAGTCCGCAGAACCGCGGCTCCGGGCTCAGGCGGCGGCCGAGTGACACTTGAGAGAGTGAGCGCAGGATCACATGACAGTGCAGGCCACACGCACTTTCTCCCTCGTGCACAGCCCACACCCCCTCCGCCCCGCCGCCGACCCTCAGAGTCTACCCCCGGCCGCGGAACGGGGCGGGGCGGGGGAGGGGCGGGAGGGGAACTGGCAGTTGCTGCCAAGGTGGGGGAAGCGGTGACGGTTGGGAGGCCGGGTTCGGCCCGGCGGGCGGTTGGGTGTTTACCTTGATGCACCGCGACGCTGCAGCCGTGCCCGTCGCAATAAACCAGCGGGTTCTCGGCCCAGCCTCTCTCGTCTGAGCAAACGCAACAGCCTCCAATCATCTCCTTCATACTATGGGAGACCTCGTCCTCCAGTGACACGGGCCGGTCGCTAGAGACCATCTAAGAGGGAGTTGGGGGGGACCATTAAAAAACACATGCAAGCCAATGAGTGCTTCCCGCCCCCCCCCCGCCGTACAGCCCACCGCGCCCCCGCTTCCTTCCCTGCGCCCCGGCCCCCGCCCGCCGCTCGGCCGCTCGCTCACTCGGGCTTTGCCGCTCAGTCACTCACGTTCCGCATAGGAGTCAGGAGCCATGTCCTTGCTGACTCCCCCCACCTCCCCTCCACCGCCTCCTCCTCCTCCTCCTCCTCCTCCTCCTCCTCCTCCTCCTCCTCGTTGTCTTCCCTCCCCACCTCCACCCGGCCGCTAACGCTGGAGCCCGGAGAGGGCACACATAATCAAGCAGGCCTCCGCACAGGCGCACTGGGGGGGGGTTCCCGCTGGGCCAGGGGCAGCGAGGGAGGGGAAGGAGGTTGCGCTTCCTCCTCCGAGCGTCACTCGGCGTGCGCGCCCGCCTGGCGGCCGGCGTGAGAGAGCAGGCCCGGGAGAGGCGAGGCCTGCGTGCGCGCCGCCGCGCCCGACCGGCAGCCCAGGCCGGCAGCCCAGGCCGGCCTCCCGGCCCTTCCCCACTCCCGCGCCTGTCGCATCCGCCGAGGTGTGCTGCGAAGGGCGGGGTCGAGCGGAGCCGGCGGCGCGCCGAGGCCGGAACGAGCCAACTGGAGGGCGCGGGGACGCGCACGCGGGGGCGGGGACGTTGGGGGCGGCCTTCTGCAACGCCGGCCGCGCGGGCTGCGTGTGCACGTCGCGAAGAGGCCTCTTTGGGAGGGAGGGTAAAAAGGGAAGATGCAGAGGGCCGAGAGGGAGGGAGGGTTTTATCAGAGTAGCTGAAAGGGACTCCTCGGAGGCATCTGAGGACCAACCTGCCAGCCTTTGCCTCAAAAACTGGCCCGAGGGTAACAAGGGTTGGGCAAGTCGACCGCCTTTCCAGAAGGGCGCAGTGAAGCATGGCTTCCTGCAGTTGGCCGCAGGAACTTCACTGTATTGCCGCAGCCTGTCCACCCATTAAATTCACATCCAGAGCTCTACCCAAAGTTCACCCAGTGAAAGTGTCACCAAGTCTGCCGCCCATTTACACACCACATTGGCCCCAGTAACAACTGAAAGTGCATCGCAGACAAGATCAAAAGCCTAAGTTAGGGTTAGTACCCGATGAGGAAACACCACCTGTAGTACCTAGCCTCAGCTTGCAGTGTAGGAGTACAAATGGTTGTTAATCAAACAGCAACAATATAATGTGAGGATATGGAAAATGCAGTTTGAAGGAACCCAAGTTCTCCTAGTCAGTCACCAAAGGATAGCTAACACCACACGTCAGTGGAGTTCTTTCTATTGAGAATTTCTCTGATCTGGCTCTGTACTTCAAATTTGCTCTTGCAAATTTGTCACTTTTATTAAGGTCACTTAAGTGGCAGAAAGATGGGAGCTTGCTGCTCACAAATAGAAAATGGATCAGGCCTATCTGAACAGATTAATTAGCTGGATATTGCACAGTTTTGAGCTGTGAAATCTCCCACTGTTGCCCTACCCCCTATGTATCCTGTTAGCCCAATATTGATTTTAGGCAACAACAAAAAAGTGTCTAATTATAAGTTTAGCACGAAATAGGAATATAGATTGCTTAAATGACAAGCATAGTTAGAAGGTAAATTCATAACTTTGATGAATACCTTGCAGGTAACAAAATAACTTTATCAAGTGTTGGCAGTATCATGTGAGGACCTAGAAAATGCAGCCTCATAAAATGCTAAAAAATGAAGGAACCCAAGTACTCCTAGTCAGCAAAAGATAATGGTTTAAGCTCTAAAACCATTCCAAGTGTTCTCATGGAGAAAAGAAAAATGGTGGCATGGCTGCTATTTCCATTTGAAATTAATTGCTAGAAATCTATTTAAGAATTATAGTAGCTGTAATACAATGCAAGCATATATTAACAAATATATTCAAACACCCTCAAAGCTAAGTGAGATAGCTACAGTGATGCAAAACTTTAAAAATGTACACTGAAAAGACAAAAAATGAGAATTCACTTAGTTATATTAGTGCATTTTTAAAAGATGATTACAAGATTACATAATAAAATACATCTTTTGGAGCTTATGGTAACAATAGATTTCCGACCATATGAGAATGATGTTCTTTAAATGCCACTGATATTTTTAAAACTAAAATCACCTTCAAATCAGTCTATACTGTTTCGTGTATCTCTACCATATATCTTATTTTTACCCCTTTTTAAGGGAAACCAGTCCAACATCCAATTCCTGCTCAGGTTCAGACTCCTAATGAAAAGTAATTTTTAGTTAAAATCAATTTGAAACTTCCGTTTCTGAAGACTGCAGTCAAACCTTAATGCAATAAATTATTTAAAAATACATTCATTGTATTTCGAATGCATTGGAGCTCAGTTCTTATGATGGGATTAATGTATATATAAAGAATGATAGGTATTTTACTCTACTCTGTAACACTTAAAGAAATGAAGGTAAACACTTGCCATTTTCAAAACAAAAATTTAGAAAAAATCATTTGTAACATTTTTGAAATTTAGACAAATAGAGAAAATACACTATTTCTGAAGAACAGGCCTTTATATAAATAGTAGCATCTAAAGAAGAAATTTTACGAAAGATGTATATATAAATGTTCACAAAATGTAAATCAAATTATTTAAAACCGATATTTAACATTAAATGTTGGGTTATGGAAACTGTAAGAAAAAACATAGAGTAAAAATAGTTTATTCTAATTTTAACTCATGTACCAGATATAGAACTTTTTATGTTATACATCAAAAGTATAATATTTAATATACTTCTATAAAATATTAGGTGACAAGGAAGAATAACAGACATTACAAAGTCGTTCAGAGATACGGGTTAATTACTAATTCAGCAAGTATTTATTGAACATTTACTGTGAGCCAGGGAAAATTTACTAGATACAGGAAATATAACAGTGAGCAAGTTATATTTGTCCTTTGTGTGAGATACATATGCATGTGGTTGTTTGAATATGCTAGTTCTCATACCTCAGAATGGATAAAACTTATAGTTAAATTGCCAGAATTGCTAAAGTTCAACTAAGTTTCTAGAAAACTGTGGTAATTGTAAAAAAATAAATAAGTTCTCGAGATTTATAAAATAACTTCACAGAAAACTACAATTTTAATCTTAAAATAGTTATCCTTTAAATCTGATTTCATGTTCTCAAAATATCCTTTGAAAACATATATCCAGTACCTGTAGAATAAAACAAAAGTCTGTGGTCCCAGTAAACTTCTTCACATCACAGCAACAAACTCAGTATTGGCTAATCTGTTTCTCTGAACTAATCATCTGAGGCAAACCACAAAAAACTCAAGTAAAGTATTTTATGATGTAACCTCTAACCCTACTATAATGGGAAACTATATTTTCTTCCCGTATGGGTAATATATCTTCTTATAATTTTCTTTATTCCTCAACCTAGTAACCAAATTTTTGCATTTGCTTTTCCATAATCATTTACATTAGTAGATACTTATGAACGAAATATTTAAAACCAAGTTTGGTTCCTAGATTAGTACTGTTTATATGTATCTCCTTTTTAAAGTTTTATTTGCCTTCTGTTATTTTTTCTCATGTTATGTTTAGTCTATTATATCTATTGTTGAAGCATATTTCTTTAATGAGATATAGAAATTGAGGTATATTTCTATAATGGTAGGACTAAATATGCACTTCTCTTAACTCGGATTCTTAACTTCCATAAAGTGTTTAAAATTCAGTATTGACTTTGATACTAAGGTTTTTAAACAAAAAGCAATTATAAGAACTCATTCATCTACTAAACCTCATCAGAAACTGTAATTTTCTTTCTAAATAAACTAGTTGGAAAAAGCAATAAGGCAATTTCTTATGATTTGCACAAACTTTAAAATATACCCTCTTTTTAAAAGAATTAATGAATAAAATTTTGTTTTGCTCATTGGTACCAAAATTTCATACTTTACATGAAAAGTTTATGAGTCAAATATTTATGCAAGTATGATTAAAATGTTAAGGTATTTCTGATACTAGTTTTGTTACTTATCTCACAATAAGTGAGCATTGTATGTTTATAGGTACAAACCCACACATGGCACCTGTATCATTGACTACTATCAGAAATTTCATTAAAAAATATTCATTCCAATTATGTTTTAAATTGATAGTCCATTAATGGCTTTTGGAAAATTTCACTTAATGAAGCATATTAATTAATCTAACTAGGTGATTTTTTTTTTCTTTTTTAGGTGATTTTTTTTTAACTCAGCATACCACCCTATCGAGTGTCTTGTACGCACATAGTAGGCCTACAATAAGTAGTTATTTAATGTACAATATTGGTGTTTATAAGCCAATTGTAGTCTGAGCTTTATTCTTCAGAGCAAAACAAGGCTTTGTTTTCTATGTGCAACTGAACTAAAATTTCTAAGTAATGAGAAATGATTAAGAAATTTTCAGATAAGTTGGTTTATTTAAAGGTTTTCAATAGTTGAAATTCATACAGGTGAAGAGTTTTTATTTACCCGGTAATTTAGAATTGTCTGTATTTAAACAGTCCTCAAATGTTAGCCACCTCTCCATGTAAAAGACATCATTTTTTTACAAAACAGACCCTAACTTAGAATCAGTCATAATTAAGATTATTGTTAGATACACTTAATTATTTAAAAATTTAGTTAGGTAATTCTGAAATTTAAATTGCATGTAATCTAAATTTTAAAATCTTTCTAAGAATCAAGGCCTAATATTTACTTTAAAGGGTTTAGTGTGGTTAATCTTGTGTTTGGCCTCAGAGCTACTCCTTTGCTGTAAAACTGATATGCATTGGCTGTATTTACATTTTTGGGTAAAACACCGTGTAATTACCAACAGAAAAATATATCTAAAGGATGCCTTTAGGTTTGCTAGGCGTTACATAAACCTCAATAACATTTCAAAATTGGGCTATTTTTTTCCATGATGCAATAATACTTAAAGGTGTTACACTTTTGACTTTTCAGACTATCATCAATATAACCTAAGGGCAGGAGTGTGAGGTCCATGTTCCCATTTTTTAACTGACACTGAAGATTTGCATTTCTGTTATAATTAAAGTGTGATTAAAGTGACATATTTAAGTGTCTGTTTATAGGATACAATAAGGTTATGTGAGTGAAAAGATTCTGTACATAGAAAGAGGAAAATCAGTTTCTGAAATGGAATAGAACCTTGCAAGAAATGAAACATATCTGGGACTTAAAAAAAAGAAAAGGAGAATCAGAAATTAAACTGAATTTCTAAATACTCTTTGGACCAAAGATTACTTTTTAAGATTTAAATGTTTTCCTCTCTGAAAGGAGCCACTGCTTACCAAATCCAGAAACAAGCCCAAGAATATGTTAATTAACTGCATTGTGTCCCAGAAAGAAAGAGGTTGACTAATTCATTTTTTTATTCCTTCAATCAAGAAAATGTTTGCCTAGTACATCTTAGATTTTTTTAATCTATAATGTGTCTATTTACCTCTTGAAATTGTACAGTAACAGTGCCAAAGACCATCATGGCCCCATAGGGTGAATCTTATGAAGCTTAACATTCCTGGCGAATTAAACACACAAGCCTCCGATCACTTTTTGTCAATCTTTACTGTGGCACGTAAGAGCCAAACTGTAGGTAATTTTTATATGGTGGCAATTTATCCCAATTAAAAAAGCAATGATCTTGGATGCAAGCACAAGTGAAAAATATGACAGAAAACTAAAGAAAGGTATTATAAAGACTGACCTGGAATGCTACTTGTCCCTCTCCATCCCCACCCCCATTCATGCCCCTTTTTCCACCCATTTGTTGTTTTTCTCACAAGTATATCATGACTTGTAACATATTTTTTTAATTTAAATAACCCCCCCAAATGCCTGAAACACTAAAAGATGTAAAAAGATTCACCATCTACAATCAACTACGTAGCAGATAAACTTATAAAGCTATTCTAAATATTCAGACTTATAAACAAAAAATGTAAATTGAATCCAAGCAGTTGGGGAGGGGGGCCATGGGAGGATGAGTGTGGAAGGAATGAACAGATTGAGGATATCTAATTTCAACACAATTTTTTTTTTCTGTTCAAATCTTTCCGTAGTTACACTTCCAATGATTTCTTATATAAGAATTTCTCCCTGTATTTCGGAAGAATTGAATTATTTCCTTGAGGAAATGCAAGTTTAGGAAGAAGAGCCGCATAATGAAAGTGTTAAAATGCAAACCACTTCTATAGCATTTCAAATGCAAAATCACAACCACTACTACCTTTAACTGACTCTTAAGGGTTCTTTTCAAACAGATGCTATTTATGAACATCATCTGTTAACTTCTTTCTTGTAATTCAAAACTCTTATCAAATGATGTTTTCATGATGACGTGTAAATATAATATTCCATTAGAGATCAATTCTAATTGGTTTTTAAAAATCCACCTTGGGAAACCAGTGCTGTATAATACACAGACTAGTAATGGGCATTTTACAAGGAATTTCCGCAAAGTCTATTATAAATCTAAGTCGAAATTACTCTCTGGCCCTAGTAAGGTTCGAGCAAAAAGATTGAAATTATTTCTTCACGAGTTTTCAAGCACGATGACTTTACTCTTGTCTTCAAGACTTGCGATCACTTGTTGGAAATCTTCATTTTTTAAAACTGTGACGCTTGCCAGAAATATTTTTTCCACATGCCTCACAAAGGAAAATAGGCAGAGTTTCGTAGGTGTCTTTCAGTTCTTTCTTTCTAAAACGTGTTATAAAAGCAAATGACACGTTTTTCCCTTATGAATTTCAGTGTTATTTTGAAAATGCACTTCACGTTAAGAATCCAAGCCTGTTTTTGTTAGGGGTAGCTCAACCCAGCCTTTTAAAACTAAACTCCTTATGTACAACAAAGAACTGAATAGTAACAGACAGACAGCGAAACGTGCTTTTCCGAACTCCTTTGAACCCCAACATTCATTTTCGAATCCATACATTTAAAGAGATTTAAAATAGGATATGATGGGCTCTAACTCTCCGGATCCAGAAAGAAAAAAAAATTTTGCCCACATTTGTCTCTATCTAGCCATCACTTTACAAACATATCTATGCTGCTTTCCCTCTTTTCGTGTGTGAGTCTCAGGCTTGCCCAGCTTCCTCCAATTTAGCGGCACGTTGTAAAGCCGCCTTCCTACGCGGTCTGGAGTTGGGAACCCCTCGCCAGCCGACACTGATCATAAAACTTGCCGACCCGACCCGGCCCGAGCCTTTTGCAGTTCGGGGAGCTGGGGGTGGGGGCAGAGTCCGATCTCGGGACCCCTCCCCCGGGAAGGACGCACTCGGCGAACTGCTGCGCGGCGGCCGAACAATGGGGGCGGCCGGCGGGCGACCGGAGCCCGACTTCCAGCTTCATCGGCGGCGCCGGCCGCGCGCCCGGCCCCCGCCCACCTCGGCCCTCCCCGCCCGCGGTTTCGCGCTCGCACTGCCGGCGCAGCCTTCCTCCCGAGAGCCGCGGCCCGGCCCGGATCGCCGCTTTCCCCGCCGCCGCAGCGCGCCTGCTTCCCGGCCCTGGGCTGGCCCTCCTTCCTCCGACTGCGACTCCGAGGCGCTGCCTTCGGCGACCCCAGTTTTCGCTGCGGCCGCCTTCCCGCTATTTCCTGAATATATTTTCTCAACTTCTCCTTTATTTTCAGAAGTGGTTGAGATGTCTCACTTCCACCTTAATTTTAATTTGCTATTTTCCTCTGGAAAAGATCCTCCCAGGAAATCCAAAAATCTAGAAGGAACTACAGCAAATCCCATAAAACCTTTAACTCTTAAATACATTTCTCTTTAAAAAAATTTAATGCATTTATGTCGTCTAGCCAGGCAAAAGAATTCGCCCCCTTTTATTTCCTCTTTTAAATATTGTTATTTTAAACTCTCAATCAAGTGCATTTTGTCGAGAGGGCAGAGAATGTGTCCGGCGGCATGCAGCAAACCAGAGGTTTTATCTTACGCCTCCCGGGATGGTAAAAAAGTGGAACGTGGACGAGGGAGCTTCTAGGAAAGAAGCAACACAATTCGCTGGAGGAGCCAGGCCGGGCGGGGGGGGAGCGCAGCGGGGGCATCGAGGGCCCTCGGGCTCCGGGCAGGGGAGCTGGTCTGAGGAAGAGAGGAGGTTTTAAATAGCTGGGGCCGGGAGGGCGGCGGGCCCGCGCATGACAGGACTTTATGAGACAGGATGGAGCAGCGGATGAGATTACTTTGCTTTCTCATCCCCTAAGAAAAAAACTAAAGTTGGAGGGAGGCGGAGAGAACAGCCATCCTTATTTCCTCCCCACGTTTCCGCGGAAGGACCGGGGCTGCAGCGGGCTGGGAGAGGGCGCAGGACGAGACGGACCAATAGCAGTCAACAGGTCCAGGCCGCGGCAGGGCAGCGGGGCCGGGCCGCCGCGCCCCCTCCTTTCGGGTCCCCTCCCCCGCCTTCTTCTCCCCTCCCCCGCAGGCCCGGCCCGGCAGGGGAGGCCGGTTCTGCACTCCCCGCCCCACCCGGCCCGACTGTGGTCGCCTCGGCCCGGGCTCTCGGGGTGGGGGTGGGGCGGGGGTTCCCTGCCGGAGAATCCTCCCCCGGGGCTGGCGGTGGGGGGGAGGGGACGGGATCGGGGAATGGAGGATTAAGAAGGACTCGAGCTCGGCACGAGCGCGGCCGGCGCGAGGGATCCTGGGTAAAAAGTGGCCGCGCGGCACCGGGAGAGCGCGGAGAGGAGCCAGGGTCAGAGGTCAGGGCCCTGGAGCCCCGCTTGCAGAGCCCCCCACGTGAACGCAGCGAGCAGGAGGAACCTTTTTGTTTTCTACCGCGCCAGCATGCTCCCCTATTGACCGAGCTGCTTTTCCCGGGCCGCTGGAGAGAGGAGCTCCATCCCGAATCTCCTAACCCCACCCCACCCCCGCCTTCCACCGCCAACACACTACCCAACTCTACCCTTCCTCTCTACTCACTTCCCAGCCCCCCGTACCGGCCTTGCAATAACGCAGTAAATTTGCTTTAACAACAAGTGGGGGTGGTTGCATTTACTCCTCCCTCTCCTCCCTCCTCCCCCTCCTCTTGCTGCGGCTCTTGACACTACTACAAACCAGGACTATAAACATAAACATGTGTCCCTGTAACTGGGCAGGTAATATACGGATTTGGGAGTGGCGTGGAGGGGGGCTTGGTCGCCGCTGGGGGGGGGGGCAGTAAAAAAAAATGTGTGTTTCACGTGCTCGCCGGCTTTGGGGGCTCCCCCCACACACCGATCCATTTATATAATGCCGATGGCACACGGCCACTTACTCATTCAGCCACACAGACCCACAAAGGCCGACTTGCCGATAACCACTGTACCCCAAAGCAAATACATTTACATACGACTCTCCTCTCCCAACCACTGCTGCCATTTCTATCAGCAAACAGTAGCGTCAATACTTGAATCCCCTTTCCTTTGAACAAAAGTATTTTCCACATAGAAATAGGGAACATTTTTCGACCTGAACAGTACGCCGCTCTTTCCCCATAGACAGTAACCTACACATTTTGTGCGCAGAAATCCTTTCAAAAAGCAAGTAAGGCTATTTAAATGACTGAGTTTGAAATCTGTAATGTAAAGGTTCTTTCTTGGGCTTTCCCTTCTTGCATTTAGCAACTTCTAAAGTTGCGGGGGCTGGAGCTCTGGAGATACGCTACAGCAAGTCTTTATTATTATTATTTAGTCTATATTTACACTGCCGCTCAACTTTTCTCTCTTTCTTAGCTCAGCAAGCCTAGCAACAACTGCTTACGGTAGAGCAAAGCGAATCCCCTCGCAAGCTTTTTGGCTTGAAACAGAGGGAGATTCAGAAAATCTTCAGATGGAGAAGTGGTTCCCTTTGTTCTTTCATTGTTTCTCTAGGAACTGGTGGATACAAGGACAAACACTTACCTTCTCTTCTTTTTGCTCCCCAAACCAGACGTTCCCATCAGCCTTAAAATACACAATCCACCTTGAAAGTAACTACGAATGTCGGGAGAGTTTGTATTCCATTCTTTTTCTCTCTCTGCCCTCTTTTAGCGTAGGATTAAGTTGCCGAGCACGTTGCTGCAAGCTGTAGCCCCCCGCCTTAGTGAATCGGTCACGTTTAGGACCCTCTAAGTCCATCCTAATTCTGCCAGTAGAATTGAGGGTATTGGAAGCTCTAAACTTTCAAAAGGAAAGGGGTCTGCAAGCATCCAGGGAATTTAGGTATCCTCTGAAAATTTTTTACCACTGTATTTTTGTACCACATCACCAAAAGAATTTGCCAAGAAATACTAGATATTTCTTTGAGGAAAGTGTGTGTGTGTGTTTTTGTTTAAGTTTCTACTTAGCAATGCGCTGCTTAGACAGATGGAGTAAAAAGGCAGGTTTGTAAGGACATTTAACGGAAGGAGTGGGTTTTCCATAATGTTTGTTATGCCATGTGTTTTTTTCAAAACACTACTGGAACTGAGAAAGGAAGCAAACAGAAATTTGAATTATAGCGTTTCGGAAGGACTTAAAGAGAGGCACTTGCTTGAAATGAATTTGTGTAAAAACTGGCCTTTAAAACAAAAAGTGAGCTTTTTCAAAGTTGAAAGACAATTTTCACCCTGTGATTCCAAAATTTAACAAGTGACTTCCCTGGCTAGCATGTGATACGTGTTAGTGTTTAGTGTCCAGCCTGGTGGGCATTACTCCCCAAACCTTGTTTAAAATCTGATTATAACGTGATTTGTTGAAGTCATGAATACGAAATGATCCTTGTGTATCCATAAATGCGAACTTGGAGTTTTTTGATCTCCCGCTTTTTTGTCTGCACCCAGTAGCTGCAACAGCGGAAGACAGTGATTGGCTCCAGTGCTCCTAGAAGAATTTGGGCTGAAGCCAGGGGAACAGAACCAGAGGATTCCCTTTCCAGAGACTGTCAGGCTTCACATGCCTATCTTTCCCTTCTCCCCTCTAGGGTGCTCAGAATTTTCAGTGTGGCTTAAGCAGCCCATAGGTAGGCCTCAACACTGAATGTCATCACTTCAGGTCCTACTTGTTTGGTTCTCGCAGATGGGAAATAAACAAAAATCAGGGTATCCCAAATAAATTGTGGATCTTGAGGTTTGTGGGTTATTGAATATGCCAACACAGAACTCTATACTTTCTCAGATTTTTTTTTTTTTTCCTACATTCAGGATCAATTGTAAGAGGCCCTGGTGTCTCATAGGAAAATATTGCAACAAAACAAGATAATTGGGGGAAAGGCAGTTGCAGTAGGAAAAGTGGTTTTTCTTTGATAGCATTTAATTGGAATTCAAAGATTCTTGAGCTGTAAACATTCTTTATTTATTCAGCACACATAAGCAGGCATTGTTTTATCACTATCATAATTATGGTGTCCTTTAAACTGGCTGATAGCAGAAAAGATAAGGGAATGTGCCTGTACATTCAGATCAGGTCTTGCTCCTTTCTTTTTTTCCCTCGCAGCCTTCCTCCCCTCTCTCTTTACTCCTCTCCCACCCCATTCCTTCCATGATCACTAGGGTCCCCCACAGCCCTTGAGATGAGGAGAGCAGGAAGATTGTGGCCTAACCATTTCTTACATCATGAAAGTGCAAATTTGTACCATACTCTAATTTGACGCAATCTATAACCTTCTTGTCTCCCACGTTTATAACTGCTTTTTGGCTTGCAATATGTGTTATCTGAAGAGTCGCCTATGGCTCACCTGTAAAAAATCTTGTCCGCCAGGGTTTGTTGCTCTACCTTTGTCTAATTTAGAAAGCACACTCTTAGGGCTTTTTCAGAACAAAGCCTCACAAAACCCCCTCTACCTCCAAGGATTTGCAAATTTATAAAGGCTGCATTGAATTCAAGATGGGTCAGGGGGCAAAAAAAGGGTAGAAGGTCACCGCATTTTGATTATGGGTCAGTAGACAACATGGCATATACTCTGTGTCCCAAACTTCTGTTAAAAACAGGATTTTCAGATGCCTAAGAACAGAAGGATGGGCCCTTTTGGAGACCTGCCCTGATTTGTTTGAATGAGACAAAAAAGAAAAAATTTAAAGAAAATGTACTAAGTTATAATTTAAGTTGATCCTCAAGTTAGCCATTTCCTCCTCCTGCATTCTCATTTTCCCCTCCCCAAAAGCAGAGAACATGTAAAAGACATAAATTTAGGTAAGGAACTGTTGACTCTCACACAGGATTTTATTGTCTTATATTCTCAATTAATTCAGCCATATGAGTCTTTATTATTATTTTAGACTTTGTTATGTTTTATTATAGTTACTTTTGGCTAACAGTACAAGGGATTTCTTTTATTCTTCTAACCAGTGTACTTACATTGTGGAGGCCTTTGTGATGTTCCCTAGTCTTTTCTGTCTGAGTTCACTTTGAACAAAATGTGCCAGCAATCACTAAAACAAATGTATATGGTGAAGAGTTAGGTGATGGGGGTGGGGTGGAGGTGGGGGGGTTGTCCTCATTTAAATTATGTATGTATGAGTGAAGGCTGGGAAGGGAAAGGATTATTTTAATGCTCTTCAATACTTTAATTATATGACATTGTAGTGTAGAAATGCAAAAGTACTCAGGTTTTCCTTCAGGTTTTCAAAAGAACTTTCCCCATTAGTAAACTACATCTGCAAATTGCTATTGCATTTCCCAGCTAACCATTTAAAAGACTGTAAATGCCGTGTGCATTACTTCGCTGCACAGGAAAGAGGTCAGACCGAATTGCAATGGTATTTAAACATAAAATACGGTGAAAATAAATCAAAATAGAACCTTTGAAGATAAATTTAGCACATTCACACAGGATAAGTAAAGACAAATATGTTCATATCTTCATAGCCCATCACTTTAAAAACTGAAAGTGCTGATTTTTTACAACAAATGCAGAAGTAAGTGGACATTAATATATTTCTATCTGTATTTGCCACAGAGGATTTTCCTCTAGCAAACAGCTTTGTTTTCAAAGCTAAAATACTTTTTATGATAGTGTGTAGATTATGCATTCCTCCTTGAGTAAATAATCGCATTTAATTAACAAACTCAGTGCATATCTTATATATGCCTAAATTCTCAGTTAAGTAATTCCCTGGACCCTTGGAGATGAATATCCACATAAATGTTAATTTGGGCATATCCATCCCACATATGTATATGTGCTTCAGAAACATAGAATTTGATATATCTTAAAAAAAAAAAAAGAATTTGAATACAGTCCATCATCTGAATGGGGTTCATCTTTGATTGTAGAGGCGGCTGACATGGTCAACATATTTATCAAAGGAACCCCCTGGCTTTTGAAGAACAGTACTTTATACATCTGGATCTGCACATCCAGGCAAAGTAAGTAAATTATTGCATAACTTTAAGCATAATTGATAACAGACACCTTTAATTTTTCATCCCCATTCTTTTGGCCAGCTTTCACATTAATAATCTAAGCCATAAATGTTGGTAGCTATTGATCGAAATCCCCTGTGTGCATGCAAATCCATCTTAAAGTCCCCTGCCTTTCATGTGTGAGCGCTCAGGGGCCTCAGCTAGATCTTTTTATCGGGATCGACCCCCAATGTGCCTGGAGAAGACCCCGGATATGCAACGTGTGCTGATGGCCACAAGAAAGCTGTCTGTCACATTCTGTGTGTGTGTGTGTGCATGTGCACTCAAGAATGTGCATGCTCACGCCTTAACACACACACACACACACACACACTGATAGGGAAGTTAAAGGAACAAAAGAATGTATTAGACAAGAAGAAAGGTGTGTAATAGGAGTATTAAAAATGTATAAATGTGAAGGTATCTGAGTGCACAAAGATACTCACATAAATTGTATATATAGACCCAGTTCCCAAATCCCTTGGCCTTTACTTTTCTTCATTTGACCCAACAGGCTGTAACTTTAGTTTAAAAAATACTATTCTGCTAGTTTTAAAAACCACCCATATTGCCAGTATTTTAAAGGTGAAAGAGGAGGAAGGAGAGGAAAAGGTGATTTTGAAATGGTTACTAAATCACATAGCCTTGTGCAGGAGGAATAGGACTGTGAGTTTGTGTGTGTGTGTGTGTGTGTGTGAAAATCTCAATAGGAATCGAGAACAACTAGTACTACCTGGCCAAATTAAAAAAAAAAAAAAAATAGGACGCTCCAGCCAACCTTTTGTAATGTGTTCTCAAAGGTTTTTTCTGAGTTTACTATTTCTTGGCTGTTTGACTCTCCGGTGGAAATCTTAAAGCTGGGGGAGGGGAACTGAACGGGGTGGGGTGAGAGGAAGAGGACTGGCAGTATATAAGTGCATCAGGAGAAATTTTAAAACGACATTATTGTCGCTGGCAATAGAAAGACTGCTCATTCTACTTTAAAAAACAAACACCAGCATCTGCTTTTCCTGGAAACTTTGCTTTCTGCTTAAACCTCTTGCATTTTGCCTCCTGCGAAAGTGAAAGAGAAATACGCGGTGTGATAGATCCAGATGCAAAAGAAAGCCAACTCGGTGGATGGTATTAGCTGTGACGAGGCATTGTTCATTGCTGCCTCTCGGTTACGTTTAAAGCCTGAAATATCACGAGATCCATTCAATGATCCTTCTCTCATTCAAGGGACAAAAATGTAATTTGCTGTAGCTCTGATTTCTTGGATGGAAATGCTAGCCTTAGATTTCAAAGGCAAGAACTAGACATCGCGGTTTGTACACACATTGATTAAGTTGAAGAGCGGCGATTACATCTGTGCTGAGTGCAACAGTAGTCCAGGGCTGACTTTTCAAATCCCAACCTCTGAGTTACAGACTCTCTTAAATAGACTTCCTTAATTTCCGGATTCACTTCTTGAAATTCCCAATTCTCTTCAAAATTCCTGGGAAATTACAAGAAAGATGAGGGTGGGGGTGGGGAACTATGGTGGAGATTTCATGCAAACTACCTTTTTGTGTGTCTGACTCTTCGGTTTTTAATCTCTCTCTCTTTCTCCCTCTCTCTTTGAGCCATACCTGCTTGTGCTAGTCAGACCAGAGCAGGGGAAGCTGGAACTTTTGAATGTGAAGGAAGAAATTACTGTACAATTTTTTTCTTGCAGGCTCTGAAATATCCGTTTATTCTTTTAACCACACGGAAGTGTCTATTTTTGGAAGAACAAGGAAACATATAAATGCCTGGGCTGCATTCATGCTGTAGTTCCAAACACCGAACAGTTAAGAAGATTTTGCCGAATTTTGCAAAGCAGCCAACAAACTGCCTTGGGATCGTGGTGATGCGACTGGGAAGACCTTTGCTCTCATTTGGCAATATTTTGGATATCCTTGAAAATGACACCAAAATATGCTTTAATTTGACTAAGAAGAGGTTAAACAATATTGATATTCATCCAAAGTGATTTTTTTTTTAAAGCAGATGCTTGGCTTTCATGGAAAAAGTGGGAGTTGTGGAAGATTCATTTAAACTACCAACCAAAAGCATCACAGACCACTGAAATAGTCTGCATCATACATCAGCACTTTCTTTTCATCGTTATTACGTAAAACCTCTGGAAGCACCTTGGGCTGTTTACCTTTTCTTTTCTTTGCTACAGAAGCAATCTGCTCCATGGAATTCTGACCTGTTGTGAACAGGACCCTGGCTAAGGCTGTGCTGGGGACTCTAGGACCATCCTGCCTCCAATCCAGCCTGCTTAATTGTGAAAAGTGTACACATTTCTGGCTTATCTATGCTTTGTTATGGGTCTGACGTGAAACTACCTCCTCCCCACTCCACCCCCCAGCAGAGAACCAAAATTCACTTGAATTGTTACAGTGTTTCGGAGCTGGAGCCTTGAACTGCTTCACTGGTCAAATAACTTTGTTTCTGGTTGTAAAAAGGCATTTTAGTCGGGGGGGGGGGGGGGGGACAAGGAAAATCGAGAGAAATTCAAAACGTAAGTCTGTACTGGGATGGTTCACCGCGCGGATTTAACTTTGGAGCTCCCAACCGGGCTCCTTCCCCACTCCCATAAGGGAAATACCAGGCTGTTCTGCACGTTTCGCTTAAGCTCCATTTTCCAAAGGAAAAGGGGGGTGGGTTATATCTATTTAGCCTTGATAATGTTTTAAAAATGCTTTTCTTTGAAATGATAATAGCTATAGCGGTAAAATGCAAATAAAGCAAAAAATAGGCAATATTCCTTTAAAGGCGAATATACAAGGCTTTTTTTTTTTTTTTTTTTTTTTTTTTAGCGTACACACACTGCTTCTGATGAAGTCTGTGAGTCAGGCTGTTTCTGAGCTCCGATAGTTTAATGGAAAGATTTATATACCGACTGTATTATTTACTTTGGGAGGGGAGGTGGCAGTATAAGGGTATGCTAATTAGTGGGAGATTTTGGGGGGAAGGGGTGGAATATCAATTTTTATTGCATCACCTGTCAGGAGTGTCCAATCAGCGCTGGCTTTAGGGGAATTAATTGATGAAGGTGTCTCCGGACGAGCTCACTTCACTCTGTCATTTTATTTGTAGCTAAAGCAGCGGCGGGAATAGCAGCTGCATGTCTTTTCTCTTTCTCCTTCACATTCCATTATCATAGTGCTCCAATGGAGAAGGAAGGAATAGAGGGGCCCAGGTACTGATCTGCAGCGGGGACTTAGACGAACACACTGGCAGAGCAGAAACCGGATGGTTTTTTCCCTCTTTTTTAAAAAAACGAAAACCAAAAAAAAAGCAAGAATCAAGTCAGTGTAATTTCATAGTTTTTTTTTTTTTCTTTTCCCCAATAATTTCGCCTCGAGTTTGGCACTCCCTTCGCCGGGAATAACAGTCTTTGTTATTTTATTAGCAGGATGCCTTGAGACACACGCAGCATCTGGTGGAGGATTAACATACATACATGTGTATGTATGCGTCACGTATATATTTACTGCAAATGGTGGGGATCGTTTAGTGCCCGACATGGGAGACCTGAAGTCAGGTTTTGAAGAGGTGGATGGCGTGAGGCTCGGCTACCTCATCATTAAAGGAAAGCAAATGTTTGCCCTCTCCCAAGTCTTCACGGATCTGCTGAAAAACATCCCGAGGACGACCGTGCACAAGCGCATGGATCATCTGAAAGTGAAAAAGCACCACTGCGATCTGGAGGAGTTGCGGAAACTCAAGGCAATCAACAGCATCGCCTTCCACGCCGCCAAATGCACGCTCATCTCCCGGGAAGACGTGGAAGCGCTCTACACCTCCTGCAAAACTGAGCGCGTCCTCAAGACCAAGCGCAGGAGGGTCGGCCGGGCCCTGGCCACAAAGGCGCCGCCGCCAGGGCGCGCCGCCGCCGCCGCCGCCGCCGCCGCCGGCCCCCGCCCGGCTTTCTGGAAGGACAAGCACCAACTTTGGCGGGGCCTGAGCGGAGCCGCGCGGCCCCTGCCAATCAGCGCGCAGTCCCCGCGCCCGGGCGCCGCCGCCGCCGCCGCCGCCGCGCGCCCAGCCGCCCATCTACCTCAGATTTTTAGCAAATACCCGGGCTCGCACTACCCGGAACTCGTGCGCTCGCCTTGCAAACCCCCTCTAAACTATGAAACTGCCCCGCTCCAGGGAAACTACGTCGCTTTCCACTCGGACCCTGCTTATTTTCGGAGCCTGCTGTGCAGCAAGCACCCGGCCGCCGCCGCCGCCGCTGCCGCCGCCGCCGCCGCCGCCGCCGCCGCCGCCGCCGCCTACTACCAGGCGTCGGCGGCCGGGCCCCAGCCCAAGGCGGCGGCGGCGGCGGCGGCGGGCGCCGGGGGCCCGGTGAGCCTGAGCTACCGGGGCAAGCGCAAGCGCGGGTGCGCCAAGGACTGCCTGCTCGCGCCGCCCGCCGGCGCCCGCCGTCTGCTGCTGCTGCCCAGGTCCTACAAAGCCAAGGCGGCGGCGGCGGCGGCGGCGGCAGCGGCGGCGGCGGCGGCGGCGGCCGCCGGGGCCACTTGCCTGGAAAGGTTTCATCTGGTGAACGGCTTCTGCCCGCCGCCCCACCACCACCACCACCACCACCACCACCACCACCACCACCGCCGCCGCCGCCGCCGCCGGGCCCAGCTGCCGCAGCCGAGCCACCACCCCCCCCATCACCACCGGCCGCAGCCCCATCTGGGCAGCTTTCCCGAGAGCTGCAGCAGCGACTCCGAGTCCAGCTCCTATTCGGACCATGCCGCCAACGACTCGGATTTTGGCTCCAGTGTGTCCAGCTCCAGCAACTCTGTGTCCTCGGAGGAAGAGGAGGAGGAGGGCGAGGAGGAGGAGGAAGAGGAGGAGGAAGAGGAGGAGGGGGGCAGCGGGGCCTCGGATTCCAGTGAAGTCAGCTCGGAGGAGGAGGAGGAGGACTCGTCCACGGAGTCGGACTCGAGCTCCGGCTCCAGCCAAGTGTCAGTGCAGAGCATCCGTTTCAGGCGCACCAGCTTCTGCAAGCCTCCCAGCGTGCAGGCGCAGGCCAACTTCTTGTACCATCTGGCCTCCGCCGCCGCTGCAACCAAACCCGCTGCTTTCGAGGATGCCGGCAGACTTCCCGACCTCAAGAGTAGTGTCAAAGCGGAGTCGCCCGAGGAGTGGAATCTGCAGAGCTGGGCCCCCAAAGCGTCTCCGGTGTACTGCCCGGCCAGCCTGGGGAGTTGTTTCACAGAGATAAGGAACGATAGGGTATCTGAGATTACATTCCCACAATCTGAAATTTCCAGTATTGTAAAGAGAACTGACCTGACAATTAACTGCCTGGCGGAGGGGGCCTCTTCACCTAGCCCAAAGACAAACAATGCATTTCCACAACAAAGAATACTCCGAGAGGCGAGGAAATGCCTACAAGCAACTCCTACTACACACTGTGCAGATAACAACACAATAGCTGCTAGGTTCTTAAATAATGATTCTTCCAGAGCAGCAGCAAATTCAGAAAAAGATTCCAAAATCCCTCATTGTACTGAATTTGCTACGGATTTGCCCTCTTCTTCGCCAACTTATCCCGAGGTGGATACAGCAGCAGTAGCAGCAACAACTAAAGCCGAGAATCCCTGTACTGACACGGGCGACAGGACATTGCCGTTTCTGCACAATATTAAAATCAAAGTAGAAGACAGTAGTGCTAATGAAGAATATGAACCTGACCTTATTACAAATAAGCTAAAGTGCGAGTGCAATGATACAAAGGGTGAGTTTTACAGTGTGACTGAAAGTAAAGAGGAGGACGCCTTGTTAACTACAGCCAAGGAAGGTTTTGCATGCCCTGAAAAAGAAACTCCTTCCTTAAATCCACTGGCTCAGAGTCAGGGCCTTTCATGCACTTTAGGTTCTCCAAAACCTGAGGATGGGGAATATAAATTTGGTGCCAGGGTGAGAAAAAATTACCGGACACTAGTACTGGGAAAGCGACCTGTACTTCAGACACCTCCAGTCAAACCAAATCTGAAATCAGCTAGAAGTCCTCGTCCTACAGGTAAAACTGAGACACATGAAGGAACACTGGATGATTTTACAGTTATAAACAGACGCAAAAAGGTAGCCAGCAATGTAGCATCAGCAGTGAAAAGGCCATTTAATTTCATGGCAAATTTTCCTTGTCCACCATCACTCATTATTGGGAAGGATGGGGATTTGTGGCCGGCGTATTCCTTAAACACCACTAAGGATTCCCAACCTCCTCACAAGGCCCATCCTATATGGAAATGGCAGCTGGGCGGTTCTGCAATACCTCTTCCACCTAGTCACAAATTCAGGAAATTTAATTCATAAAAGAGTTTTTGGAAGATATTTTCTTGAACCATACCTTCCTTTTGTTGTAAACTGCACAGGATGGTTTGTACAAGTCCATTAATGTGTTACACCTCTTTTGGAGTCCTGGTTTATCGCATTTTGAAGACAGAAATCGGATTACTTTTTTTTTCCATTGCGGGTTTTTTTTTTTTTTTTTGGAGTAGGGTGGGGGAGGGGTGGGAGAAGGGTTGGTTTACATTCCACAGACTATACTTCAGGCTAAAGACTCAAGTAAACTCAGTTATTACGGTAGAGCTGGAACACTTTACTGTTTCAATGCTAATAATGCACCCGGTACCTCAATTCAACTGCTACAAATAAATGTCAAAAGGTTGAATAATAAATATTACAATGAGCCATTAAGTTTATGCACTAGATTTCAGACCTGAAAGTGTAACTGTTAATTCAGTGAAAGTTTGTTAGGTTGGTTACATGGTTACACA